AAAAAAAAAAAAAGGCCCAAGTCCAAAAATTATTTGAGATCAAGGGATAAAAGTATGACCAGTATGTGAAGAGTCAAGACTGAAGTGTATTGTCTTTACTATCAGTAAGAACTCTGCTTTCAGCTTCTTTTGTAACAATTCCTTTCCACTTCATAGAGATTTCTAACCAAATCTAGTTCTTTCTTTCTTCTTGGGTTTGTTTTGGGTATATGTCTCCGCACCGATGTTATTTTTTTGTTGGAATTAATAAATGTCGGGGGGGGGGTTGGTATTATTTTGTATCTAGTAGTTTATGATATCTTGTTAAATTATATGTTATACCAAAATGTTGCCTGAAGATAATCATGGCAAGATTCTTTTTTTCCCCTGTGTTTTGAATACATGGAATTGCACTTATAAATTTGAATTTTTGTTTCATTTTTTCTGTCTTCACTCTGTCTTAAAATTTGGTGGAAGTGCTATCAGAAGCTATCAGAAGTGAACTTGTCAGAAGTTAGCTAGACTGAAAGGAGATAAAAGAAGCAAAAGGTCAATAAAATTGATAATTTCTGAGCAATTGAAGTTTCTTCAAATGTGCAAAACTGTGTATCTCTCTATTCCATGTATAGATTGGATATTACACACCTGTTTATATGTTGTGTTGTATTGCAGTACCTATCATATATGATTGAGATGAATGTAAGCCTAAACCTGAATGCATTGTATACAAGGTAATAATGTTAGATATTTTACCTGTGATATTTGAAATTACTCCTTTCCCATTTTCTTTCTTTCTTTCTTTTTTTTCTTTAAATTCATATGTCCGTAAGATTGTTTTCCCTTTTTGGACAAAAAAAAAATCTTAGCTTTTTATCCTCCCAGTTTATTCTGCATTGTCTTTACCCTAGGTTAGACTCTTCTATGTAACTTTTCTCACAGTGTAACAACTTTTATACATCCTTCACTGCCTTCATCAGGACTAATTTATTTGTTTTCTAATACTTCAATCTCAAACATTCCTCCCTCAATTGGAAGCCAGACTGACTAGTCTTTGCCAGACACTGTTGTATACCACTACTGTCACCTTACTGATTTATTTCAACACATTTGCTGTAGCTAAATTGCTTTACTCAGATTCTCTGACACTTTCTATGCGTATTTTCATCTTTGTGCATATTATTTCTCATACTTGAAATACTCATTTTCATTCTTCATT